TGTCTGTGTCTGTGTCTGTTTGGAGGTTGAAGAGGAGGCTGGTGAAGGTGTGGTGCCTCCTGAAATGGAATTTAAACTCTGTGATGTTGGGGTCTTTGGTGATGTTGTCACCGTTGCTGTTGTCATGGGGGCTGATGAGAAAAATGTTGAAACTGGCGAAGGTTGCACAGTAGACTTTGGTTTTGAGGTCACTGAAGCTGTGAAGATGAAACATCCACAATCACAACAATACTACTCAAAGAAGTTTGTATGTGTTCATGCGAGAAACAGTTTGGGGTTGTTCTGTGTTTTACAGAAGAATTTATAAAACCAATTTTGTCTAAATATTATGAGTCACTTGAAAGAAAATAATTCTTCATGTCTTCACAAACATGACATTTAGTCAACTCACCGTCTGTGACAACAATCTCAAATTCTTCATTTGAATCAAATGGCAAAATTCTGTCCAAAGAGCATCTGTACATTCCAGAGTCAGATCTTCTCAGCTGTGTGATGCTCACATTCAGAACTGTCTTATGTAATGGATAAAATCCTTCTTTATATTTAATGCTGTATCTGCCATTCTGCGCTGAGTCATCAGTTGTGTCAATGAGAATGTTTCCTTCTTCACATTTTCCCGTACAGAAGAGTCTCCTTCTTCCAGTTAAAGAAAATGTGCATTTAACTGTGATGCTTCCACCCTCCATTTCTGTATAGATGGGAGTTTCTGCATTAACAAAACCAGAGTATCCTGCATCCTGCAGTCCTGCTGAAAATACAATAAATCACTAGTTACTTTCTTCTCATAAAATTTTGCAGCCTAATAAGATCTATTAAAATGAAAGAAGACAATCTTCACTTTAACACAACTTTTCAAATTAAGTCAGCGTTTTCAGTATGTTTAACTTATGTTTTAGTTGTTTGAATTTGCAAACCATGGACTTCCTGGTTTTTGTTGGCATCTAAACAAACCTTTTGCTGAGGAAGACTCAGAGTTACAAATTTAATGATAAACAATTCTAATTAATCGAAACAGTGGGAACGGTTCTTGTTGAGAACCTCATTTACCTGGCAGGAAACATGGCGCCTAAGCGGCTCAAACGCTCAAAAGTTTGGTTACACTTTACGAGAACAGATGACAACAGGGCAACTTGCAAAGTAGATATTTCATTTAAGGGAGGAAACACTACGAATATGCAAATTTACAAACTTGCAACAAATATAGACAAATGACTGTGAGTTTCATTTATTTATGACGACATCTTAATCTGCTTTTTGGATGTTTACAGGTTAAAATTGTCTTTTTTGTTGCTTAACATCCAAAGCTTTCAGGTTGTCAACACTTGTTCTCTAATGTTTTGCTTCACAAAAGATGAGAATGGTACAGCAAACAAGGAACCAACTCTGAGTACCTTTCGAAAATGATGGTAACATTTAACTGCTTTACCTATCATTTCAAGGGTTTCTTGTCTTTGCTAAAGCAGTTTTTAGTTCTTCACAGGTTTAGTTGTACTTCCAGTGAACTGCATGTTTGACTGACTCTTTCCAACTCTGCGTTTAACCACAGAAACCAATAACATGTAAGAGGCAGATGAAAATGAAAAAATGCTGAAACAGCTTATCGCTACAACTGCTCAACAAGAAGCTTAAACTTACTGATCAACTAGAAATAAAAAGGAAACAAAGACAAATAATACTGAGACTAACAAAATTAAAGAAATATTAATAAATTGACCCACCAAGAAAGATGAAACAGACCAAAGCACGGAAGACTTTCATACTGAGGTTCTGAGGCATACTGATATTCAGATGGCTTCTCTTCTGTTTTCACTTTCAAATGAGGAAGTTTTCACTTCTCTTTTATGATGTGGTCCCTTCTTCAAACAAATCTCCCACACACATGCGTACACACACACGCACACACACATACACTTTTGGTAAAGTTGTTAGTGAATAGCTGCTTATTTACAGAGTCATAGACCCAATGGAATTACAACTGTGTGAACTCCAAGTAACTGGCTCTGGTAGGTTGAGTGTTGATGTTTAAAGAACAATTCATATGACAGTAGACTTCAAACCAAGTAGTTCCATGTGCATTTTTACTTGCCTTTCCTATTTGAAAATTGTCAGTTAAACTCTCAACATCACAAAAGTACCAGATGAATAATGAAGGCGTCATGGCCTTGAACACAGTTTAAGGTACAACTACATAACAATAAGGCAGAGGTCGGGAGAGTTGAAACAGAAATTTTCCATCATCGTATATTTATTTTGAATCATTCCATCAAGACCCTACCATAACACAGAGAAAACCCCTACAACCAGACGACGCACCTATGAGGAACCACTTGGCAATAGTGGGAAGGGAAAATTTCCGTTTTACCAGGTAGAAACCTCCACAAACAGAACCAGGCTCAAGCAGGGGCAGCCATCAGCCATGGTCCATTGGGAGTGAGGGGAGGAAGACAGGACAAGAGACACAATGTGGAAAAGAGCCAAAAATTAATAATAACAAATGAATAAATACAGAGTGGTGCATAAAAACAAAGAGTGAAAAAAAGATCAATGAAGAAGAAGAAAGATGCAGTTGTCATAGTTTAAAATGGAGCTGGTTTCTGTCTACACATAAATGACGAGGAGCAAAGGGGAGAGAGAAGCCATTACCAAAGAGTTGAGGTCAGCTGTCTGTGCATGTGCATGTGTGTGTGTACACAAGGTAGCCCAGGAGATAGAGCTCCGGGCTCCAATCTGCATGCCTAAGTATCCTTGAGCAACATACTTAAACCCAAGGTGCATTCATTAGAGTGTGCAAATTTTAGATAGAAAGCATTTGGTTGTAGGAAAAGGTGCATGTATGAATGGCTGAATGAGGCTTCTTACACAGAGCTCTTGAATGCTCAAGTAAAGAAGGAAAGTCCATCCATCCGCTTCTCCTTTTCAGGGTCGCAGGAGCCTATCCCAGCTGTCATAGGGCGAGAGGCGGGGTACACCCTGGACAGGTCGCCAGTCTGTCGCAGGGTTAACACACAAGGACAGACAACCATTCGCACTCACTTTCATTCGCACATTCAAACCTAGTGGCAATTTGGATTATCCAATTAACCTATCCCCACAAGTTGCATGTCTTTGGACGGTGGGAGGAAGCCAGAGTACCCGGAGTGAACCCACGCAAACACGGGGAGAACATGCAAACTCCACACAGAAAGACCCCGGCCTGATGTTGGAATTGAACTCAGGACCTTCTTGCTGTGCGGCAACAGTGCTAACCACCGTGCCACCGTGCTGCCCAAAAACCAGTCCATTTACACACATAGACAGTCAAATCTGAACATGAATATGAAAAATACCATCTGCTTTGTGGAAGCAGCCATGTTCAAACCTGTAGAAAAGAAGAAAGTTGACAAATGTTTGTACACCACTATTTTTACTTAGTAATTCTGAAAACGTCATACTAACAAACATAGCTTACAAAAAAAAAATTCCAATAGCCCAAATACAATACAGATTACTATCTAAGACCAGATAGATCTAAACAAAGGAGTGAGTAAGGATGGGAATCGAAAACCGGTTCTTGTTGAGAACCGGTTCCCACTGTTTCAATTAATTGGAATTGTTTATCATTTTTGCAAACGACTCCCTTATCGATTCCAGTCGCCTCGACGTCACCATGTTGCAGAGCCTCATTTACCTGGCTGGAAACACGGCGCATAAGCGGCTCAAACACTCAAAAGTTTGGTTACACTTTACGAAAACAGATGACAACCGGGCAACTTGCAAAGTAGATATTTCATTTAAGGGAGGAAACACTACGAATATGCAAAAGCATTTGCTCACAAAACACACGATGACCTTAAATGAATGTCGTGTTTTTAATTCCACCCCGGACTCGTGAATCTCAACCCAGCAGCAGCGGTAACATTTGCACGTCCTCTCCCGTTAATGCGGCAGGTAAATAATCAACTAACAGTGCATATTATGTTAGCGCGATCTGCCTTATTACAAAACCTGCCATTACTGTGCATTTAGGTGACCAAGATGAGAGAGACAGACAGAGTCTGGCTGGCTCAGATGCTGGCAGTTCTCGCTGCAGTCTACCGTTATTGTCTCCTTTTAGTCCAGGATAGACGAATGTCACCGAGCAGTGACTAAGTTTGTGGTCAAAGGCTTGAACCCATTTGCCACAGCCGATACCCCCGATTTTCAGTAAGTGTTTAATTGTAGGCAGGGACATTACTGGATATTCTTCTGTAATTGCTACAGAATATTTTATGTTATACTTTGTTATTGCTACAGAAGAATATTTATTTTATTATTTTACATTTACATTTTTTTTCCTGGGGACCCTGTGACACCCCACTGAAGAGCCGTAGGCTGTGGATCTCTTAAGATCTCACTGTTGGGTTTGTAAGGCCATGTTACTTCTAAATTTCTATCTTGTTCAAAGAGAAGATATAAAACAAAGTTCTAAGCTAATCGACCTTAGTGTTCTCCTTTTTTAAAAATAAGAATCGATAAGAGAATCGATAACGAATCGAATTGTTAAACAGAATCGAAAATGGAATCGGAATCGTGAAAATCTTATCAATTCCCATCTCTAGGAGTGAGGCAGCATCAAGACAGTAGTGTATCCCAGATGTGTTCAGAGCAATTATGCTTTGGTTTTAGCTAATTGTTGTTTAACACTAGGGTGGCTCAGCTAAGTTTTACATGGATCAAAGCTACAGTTTATATTTTGTGTGCACCTTTGTTGTGCTTACCTAACATTTACACAACATGATGATGATTTTTTCTTTTGCAGACAGGACAATATTGTTTCCTAGACAATCTTTGTCATTCAGTGTACAAGGAATTATTTTTTGTTGCAGTTAAACAACAACATGAAAATATAAATACTATTGTGGCAGCACAGGGGTTTAAAAAAGAGTGATTCAGTACTTTGCCCTTTAAACTCACTGTTGTCACGATAGCTAGGACAGCCAAAGGTTGCCAACAACACCACCTTTGGGATTCCATCCAAGGAAATCAGTAGAAACACCATTTAGGTACACAGGTTTGTTCCACTAAAATGAGGCAGAAGACATGAGTTCACAATTCAAAATGTAAATTTATTTCACAAGGAAAAACATTATTTTAACACTCTACACATTCAATCATACCTCATGTCCCCTGCCAGTGGCGGACCCCCTCAGACAT